ACCGAAAATAAATTATATATCATTAACAGTTGTGAAACCTTCAGTCTTAGGCAGACTAAACAACAACACTCAAGTAGGATAAAGGCCTTCGCATTGTTTCAATATCGTTGTATACAAATCAATACAAATAATAACTGGTATTTCTGTGAATTCGATGGATCCATATATCATAATCTCTGGACATGCAGTCCTGGAAGGTCACAACCTGCGGAATAAACTATTATATCGACTATTTACAAGTTGATTCAAACAAAACAAACACTTTTTCGCTAACTACCCATCAATGGATACGAAAATATGGCTTAATAAAAATATTTCTTTGGGGTGGCCGGACGGGATACGATGTCATATTAATACAGGCGAGCACGAAATATTCGTGCTAACTATGTTTTACACACCTCCTCTATTGTTTGTGACAGGTCTATATTTTTCGGATAGACCTGTTTAAACAAAAGAAAGTCCGTTATGAGGTCTATCTTTTGCACGTGCACAGGTCTGTTCTAGCCAGACAGACCCGGTCATGAATTACACGTGAAAAAATTGGCCTGTTAAAGTGCAGACAAAGAAAACATGAAATGCAATAAAAAAAAATGAAATAAAATGTAAATGACTGTCATAGTGTTCCTGTCTTACCAAATCCGGATACATATTTTAAACAAGATAATGATTAATGAATGCACTAAGCAATTATTCCAGTATACCTATATCAAATCTTTGAATAAAAATAATGGATAGCATATCACATTTAATATTTATTTAATCGCGTCATTTTTCATAGAAATAGAATCTAAGTGGTGCTTCTGTCATTAAGTTCACAATATAATAAACTGGACGTTTCATGTTCCTTTCTATGAAACTATATAGCAGTAATCACAGCATAATTATCACGATTTTAAAATGTTAATAAAGTTGTAAGTGATTTAGTATAATATTTATGATGAACGATTATATTTTATTCTAGAACACTTCATAATATGTTATATAAAATAAAGTTGAGGTTCATGTATCTCACACTTTCATGGTATGCTGGGTATTCGGACATTGCCCTTCGGACTGTTGCCCCCTCGGAAGTTTGCCCCCTTTTTCCAGTGGCGGTCATTTGCCCCCCTGATATCTTTGGAAGGGACGGACATTTGCCCCCCTCCCTGTTTTAAAAATGTTAAAATATTTTATTGTTGACTTGTTTGCTACCAAAATTCATTGCCTATTGTCGAAATTTAATTGTGCTTAAATACACAAAAACTCTCGTGCAAATTTGTGAAAGTCAAAATAGCATCTATAAATATTTATACTATTATGTTTCCATTGACATAAAAAAATCTAGATGACAAGTGACAAGTGACAACAGCAGAAAAAGCGGGCAAACGTCCGGGAAGGCAACTGTCAGGGGGTAAATGTCCTAGAATCTGCATTGTCTGATACGAAATACTACGAAATACTATCAAAATAATTATTCCTACTTTAACATACTTTCCATTACAGACCTATTCACTTTATTATTGACAAATTGCACATTTAGCTTTTTTGATTATTTTTTTAAAGGGAAAAGCAAAGTTAAATGCAAAATATATATTGTATTTAAGCAGAACGTTGATAAAAGCTTACCTGTACATGCGTTGTGTTAAAAATAATATTTTGTGCGTAATATCAAATGCTTTCGGATCAGCCATTGCTCAAGCCAATATAGTTTTACGGTGTGTAAGTTGGATATCGACCTCGTACATCGATCTTTCTGTTTAGGAAAGACCCGGTCACGAATTTCATGAAACACCTCGCTCATAAAATTCGTGACCAGGTCTTTCCTAAACAGAAAAACCTCGTACTCGGTCGATATCCTATACATACCTCACTTGACCGGACAATTATAACTCTTAACCTGCAATAAATACATACATTGGGAGTAATCGTCCAAAACTAAACTTTAACCATTATTCTCTACGTATCGCTTTTAGGCTTCTGGAATCTGTTAATAAAACTATCAAAATACGTGTATTAAAACTATGGCATTGTACATACATGTATAAGTACATTTGGAGGCGTGCGAAATGAGATAGCAAGTCCCACAGGACAGATTCCTGTTGATATTACAATTTTGTGTACTTTTATGAAATCATTATAATGCATGATTTTCATTTCAGTTGACCTGATACTTATTTCAAAGTAAGGAGTACGATACATATAAGATACATATAAGACCAGAATTGGTCAGAAATTATCTGCTCAGACAACCATCTTATTTGTGTGACGATTAAAAAAAGGAGACTGGGTTGCCTGATCCAGTAGATTCAACATTTTGTACAAAACAATGTTGTAAATCTGATATAAACTAGTTTGATAGTAAATCACTGGATACACATTGTTTGTGAAACTGGTGATTAAGATAATATTTAAAAAAAAATAGAAGGATGCCTTAAAAAATGATACTTAATACAAAAATTTTACAATCTGGTCCGTGCAGATTATGAAAAAAAAAAACAACAACAACAAAAAAACCTCACAACAACAACAACAACAACAAATAAACAGAAAGAACTTTTTTCGGAATAAATATATCAGCTTAGTAGCAGGGCAGAGTTGTTAAGTAAGTATCTTCTCCATTGCCTGTAGTTTTTATTTCTTTGATTAACCCCCCCCCCCTTCCCCCGGTCTCCTGTCCCCTTCCCCTTTGTGGGCCTATTATTATTTTCTTTGAATTCCTAATCAGTTACAAATTATTTATCATTTAATGATTGACGTGTCTTTGCCCTGTCCTTTTTATGTTTGGGGTCCGCCTGGGCTCCTTGCCATTGGTTCTTGTTGCTTGGTCATATGGGGGTTGCGTTCCCTTTCCTTGTTGATCTTGTTTATCATATTTTGTTCTTCAACATGAGAACACCTTGTCTCCTTATGTCCACAAAGGCACGAAATACCCAACTACATACTAGGAAGATGTAGTTAATTCGGATATGATAAGGATGCGGACACTTCTTAAATAGTGAATTAATTGACAATAAAGCTGAGTCCACTAAACGGATGAAAATCTTACCCTAAACAGTATAGATAAAGTGGGCTTTACTAAACTCGTCATGATTTTGGAAAATTATGTTTCTGAGTTTCCATTTCTTTTTTATTTTATCGCATCTATCCAAATAATGATGATAGCGTTAATTTATCAAATTATCAAGTTAGAAATAATGAAAAGAATTTTTTTCTCCTTTTTTGTCAAAAGATGGGTAGTCTGATCAGGATCCATGTTGTTCGCTTACAAACCCTTAAACAAATAGAGAAACTAATAGCGAACAGCATGGAACCTGATCAAACTGCGCGGATGCGCAGGCTGGTCTGGATCCATGCTGGTCGCAAACACATTTGTTGGTTTTGTCGTGACACGGCTCAATTATTTGGACAGTTTTCCATCCCGAAAACATGTACAAAATGTCAGTTCAACTTGCGCTCATTATCGTAGAAAGGTGAACACCATTGAATTCAGATCCTTCGGACAAGGGACCTTTTTATTGTGACATATAAATCGCGTAAAAGCATTTGATTATGTGTTTTAAATTATACAAAATGAATTCCAAGATATCTAGTCTCGGGCACTTTTGTACATAAATATAAAATAGATGTAAAATTAAGAGGTGAACGATAAGAAAATGCAAGTTAAGTGTAGCTTTGGTAAATAGCCAACTTAACTGGATTTAATTTGAATAACGTTTATCGTTTATCTTAATGTTAAATAAATATTTCAATCGACTGTTCAATTTATAAATGATTGTCCATGTTCGAAACATATAGTTTGTATAAATAAACAAACACATTTTTTCTTTAAAGGGAAATGCGACAGTTTATCGAGCAGAAAAGTTTTTGATATGTCGTATCCTTTTTAAACACCCTGAGTATTTTATTCTATAAGTATTGCTTATAACTGCACACTTTCGGCGGCACAATTCCCTAAACACTTTTACACACTTTATGTTTTCAAAATACGGTCACTTCATGTTTTATATCATATCTTAATTGAATCAAGCCGTCGGAGTACATAAATTCACTAAAAATCAAATTTCGGGATTAATAATTCCATTTCGGGAATAGGATGTCGTGAGACGGGAACCTACCAGAAGTTGATATAGACTCAGCTATTCATTATAAGTTGCATGTAAAGGTTATGATTGTTTTAAAGTTGTTTATCAAAGAATGTACGGTATACGTGAATCAATCAAATTTAAGTACATTATGATTAATTCATCAAACAAGTGTTAACGCGCTGAGAGTCGCTTTTCGGGAAAATGCGTGTGTGTATTTGAGTTTAGTTTTACTCGCCGACCATTGCCCACATGGTCGTGTCATCCAGAAGAGTGTTAGCCATTTTAGATTATGGAGGACAATGCAAAACTCAGATACAGAAATATTTAGCGTGCCAATTGCTTTAGTACTCATACACGGGACCTCGATAGTAGTTTTAGTTGGGAAAAGTACTTTGACGAAACTATTTATATTGATGTTTACCGGCAAGGGATATTGAATTTAATTTAGAATGGGAATCATAATTAGACAGAAGAGAGAGCCTTCCAGGCTTACTTATTACCCATGATTTTGATGTACTTCCGACAAAACTGTTCAAAACGATCACTTATGAAGATACCCCATTACCGTTATGCTCGCATTTTGGCTAGCTCTTCGATATCGTCATTAACAAAGATTTACAAAAAAAAAAAACACAACAAAACAAAAACAAAACAAACAAAAATCACTGCAACGTTTATGAAAATCCCATATTGTATTATGTTGTTCAATCACCGAAACATAAAAACATCATCAACAACAACAAGAATCTTTCGTGACTACGCTGATTATGTATACTTTTACTGAGATAGATATAAGCTCGCATTCCTCTTTAAAAAAGGATTGAAAACAGATCCTTCAGGTTTATACAAGACGAAATTCACGTATATAAAGATAACAGTATTATATATGTACCGTGTGGTTACGTGTCTCCAAAACAAACCGTCATTCTGATAATAGATACGGTGAATGTCGGATTGCTTTTCTTTAAGTCTTATATTCCATTGTGTATACAACATTTGCATAGGTGCAGATAGAGGTAGGATATTTTTATTTTATTTCTTATAATAAACAACTTATGTTTACCATAAATTGATATATATGAGCGTATCATGAACCCGACTTATGTCTAAGAATAAGTATTTGTTAGTGTTTAATACAAAGCTTTTGGTCAAGAACGGCACAGCCATTCGACCACTTAAATTAAATAAATACTTAATATAAACACTAACCAATATATTGTTTCATAAAACTGTCGATTTACTGGACTGATATATAAACCTAGTCTAGGGAAGTCTGCCTTTGTTTGTATAGTTTAACACTGAATCAGTATTTTGTTTATAACATTTTATGCAAAGAAAACCAAGTCAATGAATCTGATTTATTTTTTAACAAACGCAATGCGATTGATTATAAAAAAATGCAAAATGCTTTTTATCATTTTTACCCATTCTATTTTTCAGAATTTGCATTTTGTAGATTTTGAGGGGTAAAAACCCCTTGGCCTAAAAAATTATCTGGAGATCTGTATAATTTGTTAATTGAAGGTGATAAAACTTGACTTATTGTTAAAGTGTTTGCCTCTCAACTAAGGGACTGTTACAACCATGTTTTCTTATATGACACCAGCTAGCGCTGGGTTTGTTTCCACGAGGCTGACATGTCTGTAATAGTAAATACAAGTTTTACGATAATCCTTAAATAAGTATGTTCAAATTCTATTGCAGGGTGATAGAGCAACGGGTTATGGACCTACCTTACTGAACACTCTATTTGGAGGAAAGTCTTCAAACAAACTTCTACAGTCTATAGCCCCTGCAATGCCACTGTGGGAACGTGAGGGGATGGAGGTGGAGGAAAATAATGACAACAGCAAGAAAGCCAAAATACAAACAGAGTGAACAAATTCTGCTGGTACAGCAAAAAATATATATGTGCACTTAGATAAGGAACAATATAAAGTCTCTGTTTTGAATAATTTCCTTATTTAATCTTTTAATTTGTAAATTTTTTAATTTAAATGATTGATTTATGAAAAAAAAATATCCTGGAAGAAAAATTTTAAGTTTTTCTTTCCTTGTTTCTAAAGTGTAGAATGTATTTATGATTATTTTGCACCAAAAAATCTAGACTGTTTTTAGGATGTACGCTGTCTCAGTTTGACATTTAGCTAGAATTTAATGTTGACAACAGAGTCCGACATGGCATTTTAAGCGTGTATTTATATAACACCAAACAGTACATAAGTTTTTAGGAAGATTTAAAAGTACGTTGTACATGTTTATCTGAAATAGATATGATAAAAATATGAATTGCCTAATGCTAACTATTGTCTGTGATTTTTTTCTTTTTCAAAAAAAAAAATTCAGTGCTCTCCCTTTGGAGGTATTGAGTTGTCTTTCTTAACAATTTGTGATGTGTTGTTTTTGTTAAAGTATGGAAGACAGGCTTTTAATAAATTACAAAAAAAATTGATAAGGTTCATTATTATTTAACAAGTTTTCTGTTCCTTTTGGTGTTAATTTCATGTAAAATTCTATTTATTTTGACCAGAAGATGTGTTAAAAGGGAAGTAACTTGGTTTGAATAAGACATGTCCTGATTTTTTTTGATTTTTTTTGTTTGCATGTTATATTTCAATAGACCAAATATAGGACTTTGCAAAGGGGAGATAACTTTGTGTCAGTCATGACATTTTTTTCTATGGCATGTAAATTGCATGTGGAGTTTATGTAATCAGATAAAAGAGAAAATACTTTTTCAAGGGAGATAATGCACATATTCTGACCTGTGATATTCACTTGGGTATAATTTTGAATATAACATGGTGTATGTATCAATAAAACATGATTTATTTGTTAATAATGATAATTATATTTGTTGATATAACATTATATAATTATTGATATAACATGATGTAATGTGGATACACTTTCATAGCAAAGGATAATTAATATGCAATATTCTATATAAAAAAGTAAACACAATAGTTGAGGACAGAAGTTACAACCCCTGAATATGAAACCTTCATTATTTTATGTTCCGTCCTTTTTCAGGACGGATTATTGTTCTTTAGAAATTCTTTAAAAAAATCCAAAATTTTGCTGCAATGATGAACAATGCATAGATTTGTTTGTTTGTATATTTATTTATTTGTAATTTTTTTGTTTATTTTTTTATGTGAACAACCATACTTATATCAAGTAATGAATTATTGGAAAAATTGAGCCTATCAAGATCAAAATGTACCATTTATAAATTACTATTTTCAAAATAAATCATTTTGTACCACAGAATCAGGAGACCGATTTGTATCACATATGTAAGCTTGTCAAAAAAACTTTGCACATAATGATTAAAATAAAAACTATCAGAAATGTGTTGTTTATTTTTAGACTTTATTTTTCTGTTTAGAACAGTAACCATTTGGTAACACAGTCTAACTACATAATTACTACTGTAGTTAGATTCAGGGGTTAAAAGTTGTTTGATGAACTGCTTCTGTATTTGACAAAATAAAAACATTTTGGCGCCACTTTCCTCCCAAGAAAATAAAACTTAATGGAGCGAATCTTCCTTATGCATTTCAGCTGATTACTGTATAATGTAAATAAGCTTATATCTTATAAATACTGTAATGTGAGGTTTTATATATAGATAGTGGCCCTTTTAACAGTTGATATATCTTGTAATGATTTGTTGAGAAACATGGCTTCAACACTTATAATTTGTTGTCAAATCCTATTATTTGTATTGGATATATTGCTAAAAGGCACTTTATGGCACAGGAATCAGTTTATTTTTCAAAAACTTTCAATTTTTTGAGTCCCGTTATAGTTTCCAAAAAGTTACTCGCTTGCCATACAGTAAAAGTTTCTGTTCAGGCACCCAGTGATAAGCATCTAACATACTCTAAACCATTATTTAAAAATTATAAAACTTTAACTTGCCTTTTTTAAGAAGGAAAAAAATATTCGCTTCTGAAGCATAGGGAAATTGAAGTACACAAGTTGTCTATTTGGTGTAATGAGACTAACGGCATTTGTTGAAGCACGTGGATAAAAAACCGTATTTTACAAAGAAACCGTATTTTACAGTTGAGTGCGGCTAGCTATATAACCCTAACTGTTGTCGGTAAGGCACATAAGATTATCCAGCCCGCAGAGGAGTGTTGAAATGAAACGAGCCGCGCCATAACAAAACCAACATCAATGGCATTCGCGCAGTCTGATCAGGATCCATGCTGTTCGCTATCAGTTGCCTCTACTTGTAAGAGGGTTTGTAAA